AAAATAAAAAAGGAGGTCATCGACATCCGAAAAGAGAGTGATTCATTTCAGTTTCGCCCGTTTTTGTGATAATGAACTGTCCACATGTTGTTATTTGTTGTATAAACCAAATATTTTTGGCTCACTCCTAGTTGAGTAGGTTTTATTTAAGTCACCTGGATATTTCAAACTTTTTCACAACTCTCATGTAGCTTTAATTTACTTTTATAAAGCAGTAATTGAAGTTTGTTTCACTTCCTTCTTGATTTGAAATAAGCTATGCTGTCAGCCAATCGGCTGGAAAAAAAAATCCCCAGCTACGAAACCAACTTGAAGCTTTGCATTTTATTGTCACAAAAAAAAGAAATTTAAGTGACTGTCGTGACAAAACTGGTAAAAAATTTCATCCTTATTAAACACTTAACCCATTTCTTCAGGCTCTCTTCCCCATTTGTCTTCCCTAGTGCCAACAATTTTAGATGGGTTAGGCTTATAAAGGGTGCCATGCTTTAGACTTAGTTGCTCTCCTCATTTTTCACGCGAAAAGATGAGCACAGGGAAACGGGATCGGTTATAGTTCAAGACTTATTCGTGCCAAACATGCACAAGAAATTTTGGTTTTACAAGTAGTTTCTCCGGAGCAGATTATGCCGGTCTTTCTTCTTTTTACATCCGGATCCCTGTGTTTCATCTCAATGACGTTATATCCACAGTCAAGGACAAAGGCTGAAACAAATTTTTATGCCAGTTATTTTTTGTAGCTCAGAAAGATACGACATTCAATAGGCCTTTTTTCAAACATATCATAATACCCTTTGATGTCCCTCCAAAAATTACTCTTGGGGCGATGGTAAGTCCCTCCAAATTCTGGAGAGACAACAAAGAGTATTATGGTATTTTTAAAAAAGGCCTATTGCCTTTCAAACTCAATTATTGTTATTGACTCCATATTTGCATCAGGTATTTGAGCGTGTGTTTTTAGGTGGTAAAAAAATTATCATACCAATTTCATTTTCTGTATCTCCATATCATGCGAATTATTGACGTTATTTGTCATTTGTGGTCATTTCTTTTTGCACCATTTACCTGTCCTAGGATTTCAAAAGGGCGCGATACGCCACAAAACCGCGAGAAATAGGAGTTCCGATTGTGGTTCAAAGATAAACAATTTAGCGTCTCAGACAATGATCTCTTATCGGTCATTTCCAGAGTGAGATAAAGAAATAATACAGGTTTGGGATGTCAGTCGTTTTTATGAATGAAAGTACAGGACACAGGCATACCGGTGATATTAATTAGTTGAGAAGATGTTTTATTGGGGTTAAAAACTCAAGTATTTCAAGTGGTTTCTTATAATCTGAGCCCCCTAGATCAATATTAAGTTGGTTATTACTTTGTTAATCAACTTCAGCAGAGACCATCCACGGAAATAACATTCAAACTTCAAAACAGTTTGCGGGATTGTTTACGTGAAGGTTATATTTCGATTGACAACGATGAAAGTTTGTTTTTGATTTACGAAACAGAAGCTTTAACTTGAGATTCTGGAGATAGAAGAATAATAAGCTGTCTTTAGTATATTTATAAATTCAACATTTGGTTTACACAATGATTTATCTCCGGCAGGTGCTAAGTTGATCATTTGTGGCAGTCAGATTCTTGGGTTCTACAAGATGGAAAGAGAATTTTTCCTGATGGTAATAGTAGTAATATTCACTTATTTTCAAGGTAGGTTCCATAAAGAGCCTATTGGTTCCATAAATTTAAACGTCCAACCAACATGTTTAAAATTGGATTAGTTTTGGTATCACTCACAAAACATAACATACATCTGTTCGGTGAGAATTTCAGTTCAGTGTATTCTCACACATCCGAAATTCATTCAACTCTTCTAATAAAGCTATGTTCATATTAAGAGACTGAAAAATGAACTGCAGCTCTGGTAATAGTTATAATTGGGCAACATTTTCACAGCTCTTTAGCTATCGAAATCAGATCAAATTACCCTACCATGAACTGAAAATTTACCGAAGCCGCTGCGAATTCCCAATTGCCAAAATACAGTGAGGCGAAAGCTCGATGCATCCCTTAATAATAGCTTTGATTGGTTTGATTGGTGAAAGAAGTTAGCTGGTTTTTCAGCCTAGAATATCAGTCATACTGTTCTTCTTCGGAATTAATGAAAATATACACATTCCTTGTTGGGAAGAAAGTCTTTTTCGAAGATCACTGACACATCACAAAAGTTTTTTTGAACTTAACCAATTACACTGTGCTGAATTACATTTGTTTGAGTCCAAAAAGCTGGAGTGTAGCAGGATTTATCACGCTCCAACTTTGGTACGTCACAGTAACGATCAGTAACAGATAATAGCTATTTTGTGAAGTGCTTGTTAAAAAAATCTGTTTTCCGAAAGGTTTACTTTTAGACCCTAGACAACGGCTAAAACACTCTCAATTATTCAAAGAATCGGAAAATTGTGTATCATGCTTATGTATCATGTGAGCTGAGCGTATTTTTTATATGTAAAAACCAACGTTCTTGTGATTTCCTTTTTAACAATCTGCTTTTGCAAGTAATAGATTTAGTGTTAATTACTGGCTTTTATTTTGTCATCTCATTAACTTGTTAGTATTTATGGCATGCTACAAACAGATGGTCATTTTGATTCTTTTTTAATCAACAAGTGTTTTATATCAGGTTCTTAAAAGCAACAGCAAGCATTTCAAACTGAAGTCTGTTGAAATTACAACCAAAGTTCTTTGCTTTCATTCAACCATACTCGGAGTCTTGATCATGCTACGTAGTGTTAATTCGAGTTTTTCTCCCCTCTTCTAGACGGCATTTTTGTAATTCTTCGTTGTTAGTTGTTATTTTGTTCTCGGAATGCAAATAGATTTGAGAGTACACTCCCAGTTTAAGATGAATTAGTATGCTGATTTACCCCTATAAATTGACTAGTTTAAGGAAGTGATGAAATGACGCCACATAAGGTTATCCGTTATCAGTGAGAGTAATAACCACTCAATTTTAACTATAAAAGATGCAGCAAAATCCTTAGCATAATCCCAACGTATTTATCGGGCGGACCCCTCTGTAAAGTATTTTGGTGCATAAAGGTCTTGCTGGATATACTTTAACTTTTGGTCTGACACTTAGACAGCAGAAATTAAAAAAGAGAACTATGATCATTATTCATTTTTAATTTTCATTTCAGTGTTTGTTTGTTTTCTTATTTAATTTTTTTTAACAAGACTTTATTGAGCAAAATACTTTTAAACATTAATAATAATAATAATAATAATAATAATAATAATAATAATAATAATAATAATAATAATAATAATGATAACCACAATGCGCAATCATTCTGGGATGTCCCTCTATTTGCGGAGCACTAAGAAGTTAGAGCCAACAGAGTAGACGCGCGCATTATCAAACACGGGTCAAAGCGAGTCATCACGCTGGAGATGAGCTGCCCATGGATTACAAACCGAGAGAAAAAGGAGGAGAAGAAACCACGAAATACGGACCGCTGTAAATTGTAAATTGTAAATATCTTATTATCCACTCCTCTCAGGGCCTTTCAGGGATAATCTACAAAACAGGTTGGGGGACTTTGCCAGACTGCTTAGGTGCAGTTCACAAGTAATGAAGGAATGAGTAATGATGCCCCCATACATGAGTGTGAAAGTGAGATAGATCACTACACCGGGCACTGGGTGCCCTACTCTTTACGAAGAGTGTGTGGGTTCTTTAATATCCCACAGATTTATTACATGTGCAAGGGCTTGTGAGACGGGGCCTGCGGTTTATCGGTCTTATCCGAGAAGACTAGAAAGTCTAACCGTTTGCAGAAGTTATTACCAAAGGCAGCACTTTCTCCTCAGTTATTTAAAGACCCTGAGTGTTGGTCCGGCCGGGGTTTCAACCCGCGACCTCCCGCTCAGCAGACCGGCGCTTATCCCATTGAGCTAACCGGGCGGCGGTTCGTTCCCTTGGGAATTGAACCAGAAGAACCAAGGATATGAAGTGAAACAATATAATATCATAATGGACGTGTTAGGGGGATGGTGCCGGAACTTAGAAGTCAAGCTGAAGGAGTTGGTGGGAAATAAGAGTGAGGGAGTTCTTCGTAACATGTGGAAGGCTGTACTTTCGGGAACACTAAACATCGCTCGGACTTTTAAAGTTGCAACATAAACGATGAATATCGCATTCGAAGTTATTAACTCTCTTCCTTAAACATCTTTTGGACTTTTAAAGTTATGAAGTAATCGTTGATGAATTGTTACAGCCGCATAAGTGATATGTTTGAGAGGTTTTTTTTCAAAGAAAGGAGTATTATTGATGGTGCTAATTTATATATATATATGTTTTAAATTTGAACTTGTATGTTTATGCTAAGTTTTCTCTATAGTCAACGGGCTACGCTCAAGCGCCCTATCATACTATTTAAACTCTATATAGCATACAAAAGTTTTAACTGCTGCATAATAATGATAATTCGTTTGTTCCGCGCAAATTCAACGAGGTTTTCAACATCATTCAGCAAAAATATCAGTTTTACTCCGATTACTTTAAGAAAGGAAAGAAAGGCTAGTACAGATATTTAATATCATTTTATATAATCGAATTTATTTCTATGTGTCTATCCTCCATTAAAAAAAAAAAAAAAACGATGAGATATTATTCCGTGGCGGGCTTAGATGCGGGATTTAGATTTCAGCTTCCTCTCCTATATCCGCCGGTGTAATACCAGGCGAACGCAATTATGGACGTGGGTTTTAGTTCTTTCAAGTTTTGAACCAATAACTAGTCCAGAATTCGTTTTGACTTAAAATTCTCATACAGAAAAATCGGACCCGCGCAATAAAAGTCCCTGGGAGCACTCAAGGGAAGTTTTGGATAGAGGTGCGCCGCCAAGGTCTTGATATCGTGACCCTATTTGGGACCAACATGGTTTGAGACCACCATGTTTATATAAGACAAGAGACTTTATTTCATGACCTGATTCATTTCATTTCCCATACTTTTTTTTGTTTTCTTATTATCCATAGGTTTGTTCGTTCAGTCAAAATCTACTACAGCTAAAGAAGGTCAGAATGTTACCTTGGATTGCTCTGCTTCAGTAAAAGGAGGAATCTGGAGCTTCACCACTTGGTTTAATGGGTCACAGAAACTTATAAAAATTGGTCCTGGTGAGCAAATATCAATATATTCCAGCAGACAGATTTCTGTCGTTGGCCAGGACTCTCTTCGCCTGTATGAGGTTCATCGTTTTGATCATGGGCACTACTCCTGTAGAGCTCTGTATGTTTTTAAGGATAACATGAGCTTTACAACTGAAGACATCAAACTTCTTGTTAAAGGTGAGACACAAAAACTGTATCATTTTACGGTCGCGAAAGTCCCTGGGTAGCGAGCCAACTTTTCCCGCTAAAGTTCCTTATAAAACTTGTCAAATCATATACATACATAAATACATGGTACATACACTCTTTTAGCCATTACGACTCCTGAGAAGAAGGATTATGAGCTTATCCCGAACTCTCTCAATCCCTCCAGTCTTTATATCAGGCTATGCATACACAGTAAAAAGGTTTTCCATTGCTTTTGTAAAATAACTTTCCCTAGAAAAAAAAGCAAAATTCTTTGTTTAAGGCACTGGTTAAAAGAAAAACTCTCGCCAGTCGCGAAGTGTTGGACACGAATTTTTGTCCGCCTAAAAGTGAAAAAATTTACACAGCATGTTTGTTAAGATTTTCCAAGTTTCGGCCGACGAGGAAATAAAGTAAAGTTGTCGATTTTTCAGCTCAAAACCTTTTTCAAATCGGTGCTAGCGTGATTAGCGCGCGTACGGAAAACATCTTCACGTCTTAACTTTGTTTAGGCGCCGTCCACACGTATCGGGACATTTTTGAATCTGCAAATATTCGTCCACACGACTCTGGAGAGCAGATGCAAAAAGTTCGGATACGAAATGACGGAAGCCGAATTCACAAAGAAAAAGTTGCGAATCCGGATACGTGTCGACGGTGCAATACTCTCTCGCAAACAAGCCTCTCGGTCAATCATAGTGCGCGTACTATCTTAGTTATTTTATAAACGTTAATGTGTTTTACAATAAATGGTCCTACGTTTACTCCAAAACTTTGCAAATTAAAGAGGACGAACTGGAACCCTTAACGCTGCAAACTCTTGAAGCTCCACAAATGAGAAGATATCAGGAGCCTATTATCCTAATAGGCACGGCAGGCGTGTTTGTAAAGATTTTGAAATACATTACTGACTCACAGCAAATTATGGTACAAACGTGAAAACCTGCTGGTCGGTTAAAAGCTCCGGCCCAGCTAGCTATCTTTCCTTTCAGGCTTGAATTTGAATTCGATTGTTTGGTCTCTTTTTGTTCATCCTAGGCAATCTCGTCATAACGTTTTTCATAGCCGTGGGTACGAGGTTGCTTCGAAAGGTTTTTGAGACCCAAGTATTTCTTTTTTGTTTTCTATTTTCTTATTTCTTTTTTGTTGGCTACACTACCCAATTCTCCCCTCCGGATCGGTCCCTGAACGCAGAGGCTCTGGGCTGCTGAACATTCCACTTAAATATAAATAATCATAATGAATATCACAAAATATTGAAATATTTTGTGATTATGATTATTGTGATTATGAATACTCAAGAAAAAGAGACCTAGGCCTCTACAGAGAAGATCGAAAATTACGAGAGACGCCGTTATCAACAGGTAGCAAAGGTTGGAGGTTAAAAGTGTATCACTGTCAATCTAGTAAAAAAAAGGGGGGGGGGAGGAAGAACATGGAAAACAGTTTCTGAAAAGAATCTTTAAATTGAGAATGATATTCAATGTAAAGGAAATAATGGTGTTGTCATCTACATGAATCCATGTGTTACATCATTTTTGTCTTCTTTTAGCCCGCCCGATTATTAGAAACACAAGTCCAGATGCTATTAATCTGACCCTGTCGTTACAAACACGTGACCTCAAGATTGATTGTGACGTCAGTGCGTTTCCAAAAGCAAAAGTCACGTGGAAGAAAGGTGTTAGACAGCTGCCAGCCGACAGGTTCAAACAAGAGGCCAATGGAGCTTTACTTATAACAGAAGCTTCATATGAGGACAGTGGGACTTACGCGTGCACTGCTTCCAATGAGCTTGGAACGGATAATGCTAATTTTACAGTCATAGTTTATGGTAATTATATTCCTTTAAGCATCCAGTTAAAACCTTCGATTTTTTTTCGAGTTACTTCATAAGTTGCCAGATAATGCTTAACTTGTGTTCTCCGACCTTTTCGGCTGCATCTATACTGCCTCGGTATACAAAAGTTAAGCATGTACAACTTTTAAAATGGTAACCACAGGACAACATAAGCCTAAAGTACCGCCATATTAATGTTTCTAAATTTAATCAGCTACACAAGCTCCATCTCAAAGCATCATATTATGTTTGAATTTATGAACTTCTTTTTCCAGCTCCTTTGATGTTTGTCTTTTCAAAACGAAATTTAACTTTCATCAAAACAAAGGTCAGTCCATCGGTTTTTTCGGCACTACCCAAAATTCTCTCTGGGTGTGGCCTAATTGTAGATGGGCTCGAATAACAACCTTGTTTCGTTGTTTCAAAACTCGTTTGTAAGTTCTGCTGTTATGATACATACAGAACCATTCCTAACGTTAACAAAATATTATTCGTATCTCACAGAACCACCAAAAATATATGGCCCTCGAAAGTTCCATGCAAATGTGGGCGAATCAGCTAGATTGATATGTAAATCACGGGGTTACCCTTATGCCTCGTTCACATGGTCCTGGAAGGATCCTGAAAACAAGAAAGTCACCATCAGTGAAGGCGAGGAAATACGCGGATATGACGTGACAACGTTACATAGCCACGCAACCAGCCAAAGCACTCTTGAAATCAGCAAAGTCACCAAGGAAAACTGGAGAATGTATACATGTGAGGTGGTTAACAGCTTGAGCAATGATTCTGCTCTTTTTACGCTGTCTGGAAAGAGTAAGTATTTTAAGACTGTAAGGCTGATTCCGGCTGATAAAGTTTAATATACAACCTGTATTCTACTTTAACCGTTGATCAGGGGTCCGAAGTGGTCTTAAATGGCAGAGTAGAATGAGTAAGTGCTCAAGGAGTCTCGATTCAATCAACTCGTCTTTTCAAGGAGAGAGAGGTTTCCAAAAAGGCGTCGTTACATTTTTTCTCGATAAGGGGTAATAACAGGGATAGTTTTTTTAGCTTTCTAAAGTGACGTAACCAGATACCAACTCTTGAATCGTCGTCGCGAATCGTTGGGCACGACTTTAATGTGTAGGAAACGAAAAAGAAGAAGAAGAATTCTTTTTGGACAGTTATTTACGCTTCTTTGTAATATCAAAACACAGCATGCCTATAAGCATCGCTGTTTGAGAATCTAACTTCGAGAGCTGTATTGCTTTTTGTTGCCCATTATCTCAGTAAATCGCATGGACAAAACACTGGGTCTGATGGCAATTTGGCGATGCTCTCTGAAGAGGCACTTTGAGTAAATACGCCAAAAGCTAGAGGCATCTTCACCTTGTAGAATGCAACCTTCCTAGAACGATTCTAATAACCAGATACCCATAACCAAACATAAAGGTCTCGTTGTTCATGTTTTATACTTTTGAAGAGACAAACAGTGAAGACAGTGTAAATCGATTCTCATTTGAGTATTAACTATGTTTAAGCTGTTTGCTTTTTAAATACTTTCAATTCAAGGTACCTATTTTTTAATCCTTAGCTCGTCCAGAGAGTCCCACTATTATTGCCGTTGAGACAAGCGCATCCGAAGCTGTGGTCAAGTGGAAACTCGGTGACAACGGGGGTTTGGAACTAATTGCATTGAAGCTCCAATACAAAGAGGGTTCAGAGAACACATGGCAGGAGATTCAAATAAAACCACCAAATAAATTCAAGCACACAATTATGGACCTACAACCAGACACCAGCTACAAGTTCCGTATCCTAGCAACCAACAGCCTGGGTAGCAGTCCTCCTAGCGCAACGTTTATTGTGAAGACCAGCAAGATGGGTAGGTGAATCAGTTGTTGAAGTGTCAGTTGTTCGTCTGATTTAGTCATTTTGGTTGGAAGGTAGAAGCAGACAAGAAGAGTGATATTGTAACAGATAACTGAACACTATATTAGCAGGACAGTGCAGTGCTCCCCTTACGTTTAAGAATCTTTGTAGGGTTTATGCAGGTGTATAACGTAAGCTAGTAGTCGCGATCAATATCGAAGTGACAAACGTGACACAAACGATAAACTAAACACTTTATACACATTATCCACCATGATTGTGCTGACGCTTATATATACCTGTATCGTATGTAGTCAGAACAGTACTTGTGACACTATTTCCATCTTCCTTCTGCAGAAGCCAGTGCTAGTGTCCAGCCCGATAAAGGTTTCCTGGGACTCCCTAGTAACATGACCCCATTGATAGCAGGCGTCGGAGGAGGATTTCTGGCTATTATCATCATGATCATTGGAATATTTTATTTTGTTCGAAAAATAAACAAGAAAAATAACCTTGCCAATACACCAGTGAACAGCCGTCCAACGAGTCAACAGGATCCAGCCGAAAGGAACTCGGTAACACTTTTACGTAGTTTTTTTGTTTATGTATTTTTAGCCATGTCAGGATACTCACAAGTGCCCCATCCCACGAAAAAAGCTTATTCGGTGTTAGGTCTGTTAGCCCTACTGAAGGAAAAATTAAGAAGAAAAGAGCTGTGGAATATTTTACCACTTTACTACATTTTTTTGAGGATCGAGCCAATAGTGTATGGATTACATAACCGCTTTAATTACCAAGGCAAAAGAGGCGCGAAATGGAGATTAGGTTTTTCGCGACTACTGACGGTGTGTACAGCCCCGTTATGATTATTAATGGTAGACTAACCGCCGATAAAATTGGGTTAACTGGAAATGCCCTAGATTGTTTCTCTTGTTGAATTGTTTGTATTGTTGTTTGAACAAAAAGCACTAGGTGGTACAAGCAGTGTAAATTCAGCTTCGAAAGTTAATCATTTTAGACTTAACATACCGAATACACTGAAAAGGGTTAAACACAACTTTCCATTTCAGTGGAAAAGAGTCGTTCATTTGTAAACCCTGCAGCCAATTTATAAAAGCAGAGTTAAAACCGCAGTATAAAATTAAGCTACAGGCTTTTAAGCCATTATTCTTATCTCTGTTCTGCTTTCACCACGGCGTTTGGTGATTTCATCTGTTGTTGTTGTTGTTGTTAGATCATGAAGCAACCTAACAGAAAAGATTCGTCGACTTTAAATCCATAGAGGAGCACTAACATGTGCTGATATTTTGTCATTCTTTAATATATATATATATTTTTAATTTCAGTTGTTGGTCCACCATGTTCCGAATATTCCCCTCCCTGCTCAACCAGAGATACCCCAAGGAGCCGAATCCGGCCTTCTGTGTAACAATCCCTGGGAATTTCCGCGCAACAGAGTGGATTTACAACTTGTCCTTGGATCAGGTGCATTTGGTCTGGTGATGAAAGCTCAAGCGCAAGGCATCAAAGGATGCGTTGGTAAAATGCATGTAGCCGTCAAGATTGTTAAAGGTGTGTATTACATGTCATTAGCTTTTGTTGAAATAAAATTACTTCTACGCAATGACGCGCATGCCTTGTAAACCCTCTATGGGCCCATGAGTCGTCCGTTTATTTTCCTTGATTTTCTAAGGATATCCTAGGTCCAGTTCGAATTGTTAGTTCTTTCGTTAACCTGTCCTTGTTTTTTGTCGCTACGTATTAGAAACTGATAGTGAAACAGCTAGAAGGGACTTGTTTGCCGAATTGGAATTGCTCAAGTTGATCGATCCTCATCCGAATGTCATTGGATTATTAGGCTGTTGTACCAGGCAAGGTATGTAAGTTAACGCGAACGTGGTTTGTTGGTTTGTTTGTTTGTTTGTTTTTTTTGTCGGAAATAAGTGTCTATATGATAATAATTGCTGAAAACTGACAAGAACTGCTCGCCAGAAAAATGCTTTACTGAGATCAGTTTGACTCTATTTATTTAATCTCAGCCGGATCTGAAATCTACCACATCACTGTGCAGCACAACATAATTACTATTATACAAAATAGTGATAAAATTGCTTGTATAAATTGGGTGACTCCACTGACTAAGGGTTTACTGTGATTGTGACTATTTTTTGAAGATTTGTCTCTTTCTTTTACGTGTAGAGCCCCTGATGGTAATTGTTGAATTTTGCTCGTATGGCGATCTTCAAAGTTATCTCCGTCACTGTCGCGGAGTGGAAGACAAGTACTATCAAGACTTGTACAAAGTGCCAATTGAAAAACTTGGTTCCAGGGACCTACTCTCTTTTGCGATACAGACAGCAAGGGGTATGGCCCATCTTGCTGGCATGAAGGTAAAGACTATTTTAATATGAAAAAATTGCATTTATTTCAGTAAGAAACACCTATTATGTGCTCTTGATGGGAAAAGGAAGTGAGGTTTGTTGCTCTGACAAATTCACCAGATACTGATTCGACTTGCTTTACTCCTGAGTTTCCCTATTCGTCGTGGACTGCTATGAGTGACAGGCTATTTCTATTTTCTATTTCTATTATTTCTATTTTTAATGGCATACTCAGCAGAAGCCTCTGCGAAGGAGAGAGGTACACTTGTGATTTGAATGTGGGAAGGACAGACCAGGATCTTTATGTCTCTGTAGACTTTATTCCAAGTCTAAGTCAAGTTCTGCAACTTGTTCAAGAACTCAGAAGCTTAACGCACTAAAATTGCAACATTGTAAAGTCAAACAATGAGTTTCCTTAAAAACCTTATTTTCTTCATAGTTTTGATGTTTTGTGGCAGCTTTGAAGGTGATTTGATGTTGTCCTGTACATTATTACAAACAGGTCGTACACAGAGATCTTGCCGCCAGAAATGTCTTAATAGACGAAAATAAAGTTTGTAAAGTGGCAGATTTTGGCTTTGCAAGAGATATTTATGTGGAAGATCACTACACAAGAAAAACGCAGGTGAGCATGATTGCAAAGCGCATTATAAACATGTGCATAAGCCCGGGGGGTTACTCCTGAGAAACAGTCTTGATGGGGGTGTGCCCTCCGGTTCTCTAAGTCGTGACCCTATTTTTCCGATCCGTTATCAGACCTGACCTCTAATCCATACTCGCTTTCAGACCTGGCCTCTGAGAAATTTCTTAGATAAGAACAGAACAAAAAAGATTTCTTAAAATCGGTTTTGAATTCGCATATTTTTTTTCTTCTTTCTTACTCGTTTGGAATTGAAACGACAAATACGATCACACAGTCCTGTAGTTCCCTCGATTACCATACCGGTTTCCAGACAAAAATGGGCAACGTCTATACCCGTTTTTAGACCAAAACGACGCAAGAACCATACCCTTTGAGGCGGCACATACCTTCATGCGTTACATAAGGGAGTAACCCCTCCCCCCGATGCATGAGACATAGGACACAGTTATATATATATTTGGCAGATAATCTTTTTCTTTTTGGTAGTAAGCCAGCGGTTATTTTACCACTGAGAATTATTTTAAACCGCGGAAACAAAATAACAGCTTATTGTTCGCGTATTTTACCTGTATTTGACCAGCAGGGGCCGTCCAGTCGCCAGAGACTAGAGAAAACCATACTTGCCCATGTCGATTGTATATACATTTATCACACCACTAAGTGACAGTGATATGAATTATGAGTTATGATGTTCCACCTCTTTCAACAGGGTGGACGATTCCCTATCAAGTGGATGGCAATTGAATCATTGCTCGATGGAGTTTCTACATCAAAAAGCGACGTGTGAGTTAATACAACATAGCCTAATCGATACGAGGAGCCAAGCGTCTGCGTATGCCCTGCTTGTGCATATCGCAGAAAAGAAAACCATAACCGCTTTCACTCCCTGGTGTGGTCAAATTCCATCACTACCAGGGGAGGTCTGATGTAATTCGGTATGATTTTGGTTTCTCGTAAAGGGTTTGGTCTTTACATAAAACTTTTGAGAAAACCTTTAATTCAAGGAACTACTCAACGCTGAACAAAGTTCGGGTTGCTATGTATTGTTTTAAGTTCTATTTTTCACTGAGATACTCGAACCAGACTTTGCTCACTGCAAACCGTAAACAAACTATTTTAACTGCAATGCTCGCACCACGGCAAAAGTGAACTTTTGATTTTTCGACTAGCACAACTAGTCCCTGTCAAGTGGTCTTGTCTGGTCTTCTTCAAAGCCGGTACTGCTATACTGAAGCCATTTTATCTTTCCGTATTGCACTGACCTGAAGCCAAAGACGAGATGCACTTGTCAAATTAATACCATCCCGTTTAAAAGTGTTCTTCTCCCTTTGTGCCAGTTTCAAGTCATGATATCACGCAGACATTTACCTTTCTTAGGCCGACGTAGATTTTTTTTCACTTGCACCCCGCATTCATTCTCTTTCATTTCTTCCGCAGGTGGTCCTTTGGTGTCGTTCTATGGGAAATTGTAACGCTAGGTAAGACCGTCAACATTTTTAAAAAAAATCTATTCCATTAAAAATTCTTACGAATTTTAACAATTGAACCTAGAACTTGCAAAAGCAACCCGGTGGACATAAAATCCGAAGAACGGGTTTACTTTGTAGGAAATAGGAAACCCCAAGGTTATCAAAAGAAATAGGTCTCATATTTTACTAATATGTGTCATGGTCATTGCAGGACTTAACTTGAAGTTTAATTCGTTGGCAACAACAACAGAAATGGGCCTTTTTTTTTCAGGAGCATCCCCATATCCAGGCATGAGTTCTCAAGAAGTGATTAATTTTCTCCAGGATTCCTACAGGATGGATAAACCAAAACACTGCTCCGAAGAACTGTAAGCAAATTCTCACGATGAAATGGTAATCCGAAGTATGACGCCGGATCAGGCTGGTCCGGCGCCATGCTCTGTCATTAAAATGGGTAAAAAACGGGTTGTCTGGGTTTTCGAGGGTTAATCCATTTCAAAATGTTCGATGGTACAAAAAACTTTACTGGTTTTGAAATTTTTTATGCAGGAGTATTTGGAGTTTTACGAGGAGATGGCTGAACTTTTGTCCGGGTAAAGAAAAGTGATCGTCACAACTAGGTAGCCGTGTCACCGGGGAATGGTGTAATATTAATGCATGGTTTTTGCCTAGTCCCTGTACGGAGTGTTCCCAGGCCTTCTCGATCAATTCACTTCGGTAACGTATCCGAGGCGAAAGGGCGGGAAACGGCCTCACTTCTTCGCTCGGACCACGTGACCCGTAACGCATTGACCGCGCGGGATAATGAGGCCTAAGGACTAGGGAAGCGAGGTTCCACTTTGTTCAATCTTTTTATTTTACAGGTACTTTCTTATGTTGGACTGTTGGCAAGTGGCCCCCCAGAAAAGACCCACATTCACAGACCTGTCTCAGCACCTCAGTAAACTGTTCAGCGATGACAGGGTAACTATCCGAGTTTTTGTCCGCAATGGCGGCATGATGTTTGAATTAGTCTTTCGCTGAAAAACTCAATGAAACTAGTACGATTATTCATTCAAGTTGCCGCTCAAGAGCGGTTTACCTGAAAATAACGGTAGACCTGGCAGTAATGTTATTCAGTAAGTTCTGAAAACAAAGCGGAAAGAAATGCAAGTGGGAAATATACAGAACAGCAAAAGAAAAAATAGTGTATAGCTTCAGTAAAAGTTAATAACAAAGACGCAAAGTAGAGGTTGGTAGCCAAAGAAGCATCTTATCACTGAGAAGTCCCACCGTAAGTTGTATTTAAAACTGATCTGATTTGAGAAAAGTAACTGCACCAATTTCTATCTTTGGGACAGAAATTGGTAATTCACCTATTCTTTTTTAGAAACGCGCTTATTGATATTCCCTTCCTTGTCACTTTTGTAGGAATACGTAGACATGAGAATGTATGAAGAATCTTCGTACATCAATTTTGACGGCTCTTCTGCTACGATCTAGCTTCCTCAACTAAGACGCGGACATCTACAGGCGCATAGTAATTGATTGATAAATGCCAATCGCTTGCTTACGCTACTGTTTACTTTGCTCAGGAATACATTGACATGCGGATGTATGAGGATCATTTGTATATCAATTTTGACAAGACATCAGGGACATTGTCATCAAAATCAAAATCAAAATCGACGAGTGCAAGTCACCAGGAGTCAGCAATGTGACGGAGCTTCGTTGCAGTCATCGTCATAATGTCTTCAATTCAGCTACAAGTGAATGGTACGATATAATTTGTTAAGCGACACTGAGCTGGTTACCTTTTGTGAACTTCGAGAGAGCACTGGGAACAGATAATCGTAAAAAGAAATGTTACCTTCCTATATCACTGGCTCAAACATATACCAGACGGTTACGAACACAAGAAGTAAATAGGCTAAGCATAATTAAGAGCGCATTTTTTTAATTCTAAAGAAAAGACAAAAAAAAGCAAAAACAAAACAAATAGACATGACAAGTCGATGTTTATTACATGTTTTATTTAAGAAAGTAAGCAATCAGTTACTTCTGTTACTAAGAGCATAGAATTAAGCATTGAGTCTCTGAAGGTACTGAAATTAGAAAGTACGTTGTTTTGTGATTAAAATGTTGCGATTTAGTTTTCTCACGTTTTAGTGCGTAAACATCCCTTTTTCTCTGTTAGAGTAGTAGGTTTTATAATTGCAAATAAATTCAGAAAGTGAATATTGTCTCTTGGAAATGGCTAATTAGACTTAATGGTATGACTAGGTTTGGTAAAGTTTATTTGTACTAACAGTCCAACCTTTAACAGCTCTGAATACCGGTCACCCTATAAGATACGGTCATCACAAAACTTCCCGAAAACATTTCTACATATTTTCTGCAAATAAGGCCCGGTTCAGACGCCGCTCCACTCATGTGCCGAACCTAACTGATGAAATAAGTACGGCAAAAGAGCGGCGTCTGAATCAATTTGGTACGGCAGTTTTAGTTTGGTGCGGCAAAAGCGTTAAGTTCGACAGAGTCTGTTGAACTTTTGTCGAACCTAACTTAGATTCGACACACGGTACGCCGTCTGAATCAGATATCGCGCCAGTGTCGCTCCGAAGTCGATGGGGCATGCAGCAGAGCAATTTAGCTGACTTAACAAAGTCGACGACAAGCTTCTCTTGAAACATATTATTTTTCTTTATGAAATCCCGTAGAAGGGTCTTCTAGAACGCCTTTTCAGAAGAGAAAGTTAGTACAAACTTGAAAGTACACGTACATCCAAGGGTGACCGTTTTTCAAAGGATTGATTGTAGCATGTTTTCCAGGAAAAATTGGACACAGTTCAAAGACTCACTGGTGGTGATAACAGACTACAAGCTTGGGGGGCGGGGGGAGGGGAATTTCCCCATCGCTACTTTGATAATTTTCTGTTTTAATTATCACCGAACGAACAGTGGTATGCAATCAAGTTGGAAATACGGGAACAACCAAAAGATCTTTTGTTACTGATCTAGATCTTGAAATTTTGAGTCAATGTGCTGAAAAAAGAAAGGGAAGTAACATTAAGTCCTATTTAGTCAGATTTAAAGATACTCGTTAAACATAAAGTTCATAACATTTCCTTCATGAAACATGGATTTTGAAGTGATTTATCAAGCACCAGAAGGGGTGTTTCATCCTATATCCAAGTAACGTTATCTGATTTTCATCCGAAGTTTCTCCGGCCTGACTTGTTTGAAACTCAAACACCTTGACCCACCCACACCCTGAGAACGAGGTTCCCTGACCCTGGGCTAACTGTAAACAGAACATGAGTTGTCATGGTATTAATATTCAAATCCTTCCTCAGCCTGTATTTCAGACAGCATTAATAAAAAACGGAGTAAATTACTTTTAAAGACAAACATGAAAGTTGGGTAATGTGATTCTAAATAAACTTTCTTCTCTGTAGAAGTGTGATAGACTCTTGAAACGCTGGTTCCGCTCGCTTTCTGCTACATGAAAATCATGAGGTCGACCAGTGGTTAGTACGGATAGATTATTTTTTACCCAAATGAATCAATAGGTATGAATCAGAAAGCAGGATGGGGGACACATGACCTTATCCCTATCCACTCTGACCTAATCACGTCTCAGCTTTTCCGTTGCTTTTCCCAGGCCTTACTGCCGGCGCCCCAAAAGTGTTAGGCGCATGTGAAAAGGCGCGATACCGATAAAGGCGATGCCGCCAAATCCCAAAAGGATTTTGATCCCATTCACAATTTAATTTTTTTTTACTGGGAAGGTGGCATTAGGCATGAATTTTCTAAATGACCCACCCCATTCCCCTAAACGTCACATGATCAGTCCCATACTAGGCGGAGGGGATATGCAACGCCTTCTAGGAGATCCGTCGGTCATTTTTTGTTCTGTTTTTTTTTTCTGGGCGACGGAGAACAGTCAGTATCAGCCAAATAATAAAGGAGACCAA